TTCAACTGCCTTCTGTGTATGAAGATTTATACACAGCAGATAAAAGATAGATTTAATGAAACCCTCACAAAAAATAAGAAGCTATTTTGTATTCCTACTGCACAGGTTAACATTTAATATACCTTTGAATCACTTTTCCCTTTAAAAAAATCCTTTCAGACAATAGCTGATTTGAAAATAGGCTTCATGTGTTTGGAATATAAACCACCAGGTTTACTGGCACATTCTTTGGGTGGATGAAATGTGGTTTTTTTTAAGTATAAAAGCTACAGTTTTGGAATAAGCAGCTTTAGCTTATGTTAATACCGTAAAGCTTATTGTATTATTATTGTCATTAGTCAAATAATGATTAACAATAAAAATACTTACCACTTCAAGAGCACTTTACAGATCTAAAAGCATTGTACAAATATTAATAAACTTAATTAATCAATCCTTACAACACCCATTGTGATGCATTCTAATGATCCATATTGTAATTTTAAGCAAAAACAAACCTCTGAGAGACTTCACAGTGCCCTACAAGGGACTTGTCCCCTTACAACCATTTTATATAATAAGGACTGAAGATAAGACTATATATCTGGGCTGAGCTTCTAGCCATTGGCAGTCCTCCTATCTGAAGGGCTCCTGCCATTGGTCAATTAGTGTTTCTTATAAAACTGTAGGAGGCTGCTTACAGAAGATAGTCCCAGGCGAAGACCTTGTCTTTATGTAATGTTATCCTCCCTCTTTTTTTTCCTATGGGGCTACTAGTTTCACGGAACACCTTTTTTTAACACTGCCTGAGGTTACAGCAGGATACTTTAGTCTTTGCACTTGTGAAGGGCTGATGTTGGACTCATGCAATGGAATGCAGATGCCACAGCCATTGGGCAGGTCTTAGAACAAATGCAGGCCTTGGCAGCCCCAGAATATGTTAGGATACTTATGAGTGAGCACGGAAAGAAGAGGGAAATGACAGCTTTGAGGCATCTTTATTGTTCCTCTTCACTGCTGCTACATCAGATAGGAAAAATGCTGCATAGGTTTAATAAAATTGTAGGCACCAATGTCAGATCATTCTTGTCCCTGTCCTTTATGGTCCCAGATATTTGTAATGGGATTTAAATCAGGCCTTAAGTGATTTGTGCAAGGCTGCACAGAGGTTCAAGTTAGTAACAGAGCCAATCTTAGCATGCTGAGGGTTTTGGCTACCTGTCATATGTTCACCCTCTTGACAGCACTACCACTGCACCATGCATTATCTCGACATAGTGTTCTGTGATTTGAAATACATTGTATTTTTCCTGTAGTGATGAGAGAGGCCCAAATTTAAAAGTGGGTTTGTTAACTGCTATGGCTAAGTACAGACATTCAGGAGGTTAAATCGGGTTCAAAATAGCCGTCCGATTTAAGCCTATCTTGTCCTGGTGCCAACCTTACACTTACAGGCCTGGTCTCAGTGATGGGAAATCAGTCTAAACTGTAACCGAACAGAAGTTCCATGCACACAAACCGGTCCAAAAATTGCAGAACTCAGTTTAAGACCAACCTAAATCTGTGCAGTATCAGACTTATTCGATTTAGGTCAAACCACTGCATAGAACTTCTGTCCACTACCCCTGCACAGCCCCGGGGCTGGGAAAACCCAGCCAGTGGCCCCAGCCCCAGGTCTGCTCTTATCACTCCCTCCTTTCCCTTAACTGGTCTATTTTTTGCCACCCCCAACCCCTTGCTCCCTGCCAGCCAGTGCTCTAAATCCCCATCCCACAAGCCCAGTCCTCAACCCCCCCCCCCCAAAAGCCACCCCAGCTCCAGCTGCTTTTATCAGCATTCACCACTGCCGTAGCCAAGCAAGCAAGTCCCAGTGTGGGGAGGGGTGGGAGAGATGAGGGTGTAAGATCGCTGGGGGGGACCTCACCCCACCCCACCCCACCCATGGGTCACACCCTCCCACCCCACCTCTGGGTCATGCCTGCTGCCCCACCCATTGTGGGTCACAACTGCCCCCTCCCCCAAGGGTTGCACCTGCCCCACCACCCCATCCATGGGTCACACCTGTCCCCCCCTATGCCTCATGAGTCACACCTGACTCCTCAACCCACAGGTTGTTCTTGCCCCACCCATGACACCTGCAGGTTGCACCTGCCCTCTCTACCCCACCTGTGGGTCATGCCTGCCCCCCTACCCCACCCATGGGTCGTGCTCCCCCAACATTGCGTGGTGGACCCCCCAAACCCCCAGCTTGCCCATTCCCCACCCTGACTTACCTCATATTGTGAAGCCATCTTGACTCAATTTAGTCTCCCCCATGCCCCCATATGTCTCAACTTAGCCCCTGTGTGCATTAAAACTCCACAATGTGAAGGTTCTTCATTATATGCTTACTAAATAATAATCTTAAATTACCTGACCTACTTTCACTCATGTGTTTGTTACATATAAGTCTAACATAAAAAGTGATTTTTCTTTTCTATAACAAGAGTAATTATATTCTTTCAGACCGTGTGTGGCAGCTGAATTCAGCTGTTACTGTTAATTTGCCTCATGATTACAGGGCATGTAAAAGGGACAGAATAATGTGGTTAACTATACAATTTTTTAAAGTCTGGAGAAAGATGATATTTTATTATATGTTGTTGGGGTTAAAGTACCTGTCTTTGGGCAGGAGGAAGAGAATATGCAGTTTCCTCTCTGTGACATCCATGCAAAAAGTTTCACGTTATAACAGAAACTGATTTATAGCCTAAAGAATTCCCCGTTTAAAATTACCAAAATTAATATTGCTAATAGCTATCAGTGCACAAGAGAGAACTTTGTATCAAAGAATCATTTTAACTGAACTCTGCAATTTGATCCTTTCTACCAATAACAATGCCTCGATCTCCCTTGCCAGTTTTTTTCACAATCTAAAGGTCTTTTATATTACTAAAATGTTCCTATTTTGCCTAATTTCCATTATACGTCATTCCAGCTTTGACATTGATTTATGACTTAATGACCAAAGATTGATGATGACTAAGGACTACATTTTAAAATAATGCCTCTATTTTGATTTTTTTCGGTGCTGGGCATATAGATTTTTTTTAATTCTCTTTCACCCAACTGAAAAAACTGACCAGAGGTAATTGATATTGGGCATGTTTCAAAATGTGATTCTTGACCTCTCTGCTTCATACACTATAAAACAGTAACAAGACTTCCCTACTTATAGCTCATGTGGGGGTGTTTGTCAGTGTAATTCAACGTTGTTTTAAAGCAGTGTGAAATCTGGTGGTAGAAGGTGCTATCATATATAGTCTATTAATATTACAGTTGGTTGCTTAAGACTGTCACTAATAAACGTATTACTTCCAGTCTGCAAATTATTCTTACCTTACAAAGTCAATGTATACATAAGTAATTTACCTTGCAGGTATCTTGATGGTTTTTACATTAACCATTATGCTATAATATTTTTACATGCATAATGTAGGGA